CCCGCCCCGCGCAGCCCGCGTCGCGCTGCGCGCCCCTCCGCGCTGCCCGTCCTGCGCCGCAGGCAATCCGCTGTAAATGCATAAAGGATCGATTTTATTTTGTGCAGGTTTAGAATGTGCGATGGTCTTACTAAGTGGTAAAAATCTGCCCCGATTGATATTGATGTATGAACATCAATTCAAAATATCATAAATTACTCCAGCCGACGCAAATTAAATTTCACGTCCAAATTATAACTCACTCCCGGGCGTTTAGAGAATTATCAGGTGGATAAATACCCAGAGCGGAGCCCTCGCCGCCTTCGTTTCTTCCCTTTCTGATTTCCTGCAGGCAGCGGCTGGGAGGGGGATGGAGCCTGCTTATTTTAGGCCTCGACGTCTTGCCCAGCACTTTGTCTTGAGTATTTGCCCCTTCCAGCCATCCCTAGGGGATTCCTACCTCCCAGATTACAGAAGCTCCGACAAATAGAGGAAAAATTGGTAGTTACATGGAAGCAGGATTGAGGTCTTGACACTTCCTGGGCTGTCTCTTGAAATGTAAGCAGAACTGCTAATTGCAAAGCTGACCTCTTCCAGCCTCCATCTTATTCATCCCATCTTCCTTCTCCTCTCTGTTCTCTTTTCCTTTGTCTGTCCCCCTCTCTCTCCCCCTCTCTCACTGAATATTTATCTATTTGGCTGTTTCTCCGTTAGTTAGTCTTCCCTCCCCCTCCCCTCTGCCTTCGCCGACATTTGGAAGGGCAGTGAAGGGATACCGAAAAAATAAATACAATTAAAAGAAAATGTACAGCCCTTCTGCAGCCTGCTGGGATTTAAGGGTGAATTTAATTCAGGGTTTTTTTTTTGGGGGGGGGGAGGGGGGCAATAGGAGGAGGGGATAAAGAAGGCAAAAACCGACTCGTCTTGTTCAGGAAAAAATAATGTGCTTCGAGGCATTTGTTATTAGAAACGCACCTGCCTGAAGGCCGGTTGCCGGCCCCGCACACGCCGGCTGCCCGCCGGAACGGGAGGGAAGCGCCCAGGGGAGAAACGCCGCAACGACACGTTTGGGGAACGGGCGAGGGGAGTGTAGGGGACCTCAGGGCCCCCTTTGGACCTACTGCAGGAGGGAGTACTCTTCGCCGAGGTGCACCCTCTAGGGAGCTGGTCCCGAAGGGGCCCCTCCGCGGCGGCTTCCCCATCGGGCTTCCCGGGCCCGTCCCGGGGCGGCGGGAGCCGGGCGAGGGGAGCGGGGGCCGTGGGGGAACCGCGCTCGCCCGCGGGGCTCGGGGCGGGGGGGGATGGTGTGTGTGGCAGCCCATCCCTCCAGAGCTGCTCGATATTTGCCTGCGACCTGACTGTTATCTTGCACAGTTGCATCTCGTTTTCTTTCTTCCTCCCAATGTGAACCCCGGCTAAGCTGAAGCCTTGGGAAGCCGGCGAGAAATTCTCGCCAAATTAACTGTAAAGAAATCGATACAGTAATCAGAGCGTTTTCCACATTAAATATGAAATCTAATGAACGCCGTTTGCACCTCTCGCCCCGCCGGCCGCCGCAGCGTGCGCCGGGGAAGGTCGATGCCGCCCCGGCCCCAGCAGCGCCCCGGCCCCCATTGCCTCATTAGGGCCTGTTTAATATTTACCCGGCGGGGACTTTGCATAAACGCATTTGCATCAGGGAGGCGGAGGGCATCGACCGGGGGCTTCGCCGCCGACCCCCCGAGCGCGGCACGGGCCCCGGGGGAGAGGCCCTGCCCCTCCCCGCCCT